TTGATTTACCGGTAGATCTACGTCCCAACCCTCACCCATGGTCATGAGCTTTGGGTAATGACCGAAAGAACGAGATCGCGGATGCAAGCAACCAAAATGTGTTTCCTCCGTAGGGTGGCCAGGCTCAGCCTTAGACATAGGGTGAGGAGCTCGGACATTCGGGAGGGACTCGGAGTAGAACCACTGCTCCTCCGGATCGAAAGGAGTCAGTTGAGGTGGTTTGGGCATCTGGTCAAGATACCTCCTGGACGCCTCCCTGGGGAGGTGTTTTGGGCATGTCCTGCCGGCAAGAGGCCCCCGGGTCGATCCAGGACACGTTGGAGAGGTTACATCTCCAATCTGGTTCGGGAACGCCTTGGGGTCCTGCCGGAGGAGCTAGTGGAGGTGGCCGGGGAGAGGACGGTCTGGAACTCCCTAGTTGGGATGCTGCCCCTGCGACCCGGATAAGCAGAGGAAGACGAAGACGACGACGATGAATAATAATAATAAAATAATAACAATAATAATAATAATAATAATTATTATTATTATTATTATTATTATAGTTATTATTATTAGTATTATTATGAATATAAAAATAAAAAAAATAATAATAATGATAATAATGATAATATGACAATAAACACTTTCCTTTACCATTTCTTTTTACTTTCTTCTTTAGCAAATTGTCAGGTTGAAATATTATTAAATCAATATCCTTTTAAATTTTAAATGAGAATGTATACCTGCTGTTTAACTTCAGCTTCTTTTTGTTGTTCATATTTTTATTTTGGTGTAGATCTTTGGTGAGCTGGTTATTTTATGCAACAAGCACCAAACAAATGGTAGCAGGTGTAAAAAGACACATTTATAGCTATTTTTCTGCTGCTTCACTTCTCCAGAGATTTGGAACTGGACAAAAGCTTTATAAAAGTGAGCAATCGGAGGATAAGTTTCTGAGCTGTATTTATTTTTCTGGACAGCTCAGATCCTAATAAGCTGATGCAACAATGAAAAAAGTCTTGTAATTGGATCTGTGTGCTGATTTTAAAGTAATAATTAAATAGCCTTAGGATTTTACAAATACTGTTAAACCGGTTGGGGTACCAGTTCATTTGTCCCTTAAAGTGATTTGAAACTATGCTAGTTTTAGTAAAATGTACGAAGGTGTTTTTATTCTAAATAAAAGAAAACCACCCACAGCACAGAGTGATTGGTATGTCACAAAAGCCCATACATCACAAGAATAGCAGTAATGTTGAACATCTGGACAAGGCTGCGGGCAGTGATGAAGCGGTCAGTAAACTGGAGCAACCGGTGATTCCACCCCCGAGCCAATCGGTGTTACTTAATGTTACGTATTGCATTATTAAACTATTAAAGTATTAACAACTGCTTAACCAGTTAATGTAATGCATTTTTTGCATTATATGGTTGTACAGCATTAGTAAAGCAGCTCCGTCCAGAATTAAGCAGCAAGGTTCCCAACTAGAGTTGACAGAAGACAGCACATCACACCCATTCTTAAATCGCTCCACTGCTTGCCCGTTCAGTTCAGGATCAATTTTCAAAATTCTGCTTCTTGTATTCAAATCTTTGAACAGTCCGGCCCCTCCCTATCTGTGCAGACGCCTCCATTTCTGCTACCCTCCTCGTGCTCTTAGGTCTGAGGACCCACGAGGAAATGGCTTTTTCTTTATGTGCCGCAAAACTTTGGAACTGGCTACCTCTTCAGGTTAGGCAAGCGCCCTCGATCGCGGTTTTTAAATCATGCCTGAAAACACACTTAACTCATACTCTGTCATCCCTCTTTCCACCTTGGTTGTTCAATTTTACACACGTTGATTTTTTCTGGTTTCACCTCATTGGTTTTACTTCGTTGTTATTCCTAATTGTTTTTATGACATGTGTGACCATTTCTGCCTGTGTTGCTTTATTATGTGCAGCGCCTTGGTCAGTTGTAATGCCGTGTTAAAACAACTCCATAAATGAAGTGCTATGGTATGTTATGGTATGTTATGGTATGGTAATGCATTACTAAGCAGACACACCCCCTGGCCCTTTGTGCTAACCTTAAGGACACTGAATAATTAACAATAACAGTAACCTTAATAAAGGGACCCATTGTTTCTTAATGCTTAATTTTGCACTAAGTAACATTAATAAAGGGACTCTTATGGGCCATTCCCATCTGTACCGGGTCGGCCCGGGCCGGGTAGCCCCGGTCGGCCCCAGCCTGGCCCGGTTGATTCCACACATCCTTGTCTTAAGCCCATGTGGGCTGATTCTACCCACCAATCAGAGGCTTGCTCTAATGGAAGGTGTGAATTTGCTGTCAGCAGTGGGTGTGTTGGCCCTGGTCGGCCTGAAGCAGACCCCCTCGAGAAGAGGGCTGAGAATGAGCCTTGGTTGGCCCGGAAAAATACCAGGCCACCCAGATATGTAAACAACCTACGCTACCCGGCCCGGGCCGACCCGGTACAGATGGGAATGGCCCATTATTGTAGTGTTACCAAGACATTTTCTCTGACGAGTCTCCTCGTCTGGAGAAGGGATTGTTTTTATTGGGATGACAAAAATATCTGAAAGCCCTGAAGCAGTAATGTTTGTTAAAGCCAACACTTGGAGTTTTTCTCTGGAATCATCTTTTAGATTTAGATTCAGTGGCATCTAATCCTGGTCCTTGAGGGCCGCCACCCAGCAAGTCTGGGTTAATTATTTCTTCATCATGTCTTCCTGTCCAACAGAATCCTGTTTATCACTTAGACTCAGATCAGGTGTTTTCCATGCAGGACGGTGGCCCCTGAAGACCAGGACAGGACACCACTGATTAAGAAGCAGTGTCTGCTTAAGTTCCTACAAGGTTTGGTGTTGTGAAAGCAATGGTTTAACCTTCCACGATCAATGAATTAAAACAAATCTCTTCATATATCCTGTTTCTATGGTCTCCTTACAGTGTTTAACAGATTTTATTAAATATGTGTGTTTGTGTCTGCTCAGTGATGGGCAGACCTGAAACAGCAGCCATCCAAGAACAACCTTTACAAAGCTAACAGCTGGAGCTCAAGAAGATGAAGTCAAACCACAACCCCCATCTGACAGCCGTGTTTTCAGCCTCACGGTGTGATCTCTACTCGCTGTATTTCATAACCGTTTCCCCTGTTTTGGAAATCTAGGCTCTCGGGGGGGTTGATGGTAGAGGTTTAGATAATGTTCATCTCACAACACGCCATCTACACAGGAAGGGGGAGGAAATGTGCAACACTCACTCTCTCTGAACCCGGTTCCACCGTTAGAACGTCTTGGACACTGGAGACTTCCAAACCAGTTCAGCGTAGTTTTAAGAATTACTTGAAAACACTTTTGACTCCAGGGTGAAGGAGGGTCATACTGAACACACCATGCCCAACATTTTCACTTTGTTAAAAATATTTCAGCATCTTCTCATTTCTGTTAAATATTAGTTGCAGATTTTGTTTTCTTTACTCAAATAACTCACTTTTTTTGTTATTGAAACCAAAATGAATCAGCTTTTTCTACGCTGCGTACAACAGTCATGTATTGTTTCTCATTCCCTTTTATTTAACACTTACATATAACCTTGTAATCGTACGCAGGTTATTAATGACTTCCCATGATGTAAACACAAAGAGTCCAATTATTGTCACTAATTAATATATCAATATTTATATAGTTTTTATGTATTCTTTATTTAAAATGTAATTATTAAAGAAATAACCTGTGTTAATGGTTAAGTCCTACAGTTCCACTAATATTTGCCTTTACTGTGTTTAAACGTGCAGCCCTGAAGTTTTGTTGTTGTTGTTGTTTTTTTAAACAAGCCATCTTCTCTCTGGGGACCTGAAGGCAAACACAACACAAGGCCTCCTGAGCTCACACATGACTGCTAACCAGAGCTCTTGCACTGTGTTTATGTGAAATTATTCATGCAGCAACACCTCGTACTCTTCACATCAAGAATTTTAACAAACTACTAAGAGACGCTCATTCTCACAAGTTTAATTTTATGAAATAAAGGTCAACTTCTTTAAAATAAATAAACTAATTAATTAAATTAAAATAAAGCATTGAGACTCCAAATCATAAAAACATTGTTTAATTTTTAGTAATGAGACCATTGGAGCTATGTAATTTACTAGAACTGCTCTTGGGTCCTCTATTACACAACGTTTAGGTTTTACACCAGAATATCTTCTGATGTTTAAGGTTGTTTTTCTCCATCTGCATTGTTCATTGCTAATCTGCAATTTAAAATCATCGGTGGAGTCTCTTCAAGGCCAGAAAGACTGAAATAACACGGTACTGAAACTATGGAAACCAATGTCAGTCAGATAAATTATCCACCAGGCCAGCATCGGTCACGGCGACGCTTCATACAGGGTGGTGGTGAAAGACATTTAATAAATGTTTGATTCTAGAGAATCCAGCATTTATTAAGTTGTAATGCACAAACTAAATAGGTGATAATAGCATTACATATCTCTGTGTAGCCAACAAAAACTTTTAAGTAAGGAGAAAAAAATGATCACATTTCATTTTTACAGATGTAGCTTAAAAAAACTGAGAAACGGTGGTAAATCAAACTGAATGTGATCTAATTTTAATTGTGACTTACAGACGTGGACACAATTGTTGGTACTCTGCAAAGTAGAAGCGACAGACAGGTGATATGATCAGCTCTAAAAGGCGTTGATCAGAATTTGCAGATCACGTGTTTTTTCCCAACAGTGACTGGCTGCGTATTCTACTTCCGTTGGTGTACTGGGAATTTAAACTAGGAATCAAAATAACAAAATCTGAACCAATCTGTGAAAAACTGACTGTCCCGGTTCCAATTTATGCTCGATGGCCAACTCTAGTTCTGACCCACGTCACACTGGTCTAAAGCCAAGCAAAGTAGGAGAAAAACCAACTGAATTTATTTTAAACATGGAACTCTGAATATTTTCAATGGTTGTTGGTCAACTTAAACCCCTCTTTAAAAGAAAATGTGCGATTACCTGCAGGGTCAGCTTCTCCTCCCGGTTTGAAAGGGTTAAACTTGGGTTTGGGTGCCACCACGGGGGCAAATTTCTTGGGTGTCTGATGCTGAGAGATGGAGATGCTGGCACTTCCCAGAGACGGAGTGGTCTCCCTCCTGGCAGCTATTTGTCCTGTCTGGTCACTTCCTTGGTTCCACATTGTTCTGAAAAATGAAGACACAGATGACTCTAACACTTATAGAGATGTAAATTGGGATGTAACCCCCCACCTCCCATGGCTTTAGCCTTTAAACTGGCAGAATTATGCTGAAAAAACAGGAAATGCGCTTGGTGTTCTCGACATGTAACAGTGTGTCCGATCAGAAAAAATACTAAAGCAGAGTGGAAATCACTTTGAACTCTGACTCTGTGTCTCGTCTTGTGCTTGCATCCTTCCTTGTGATGCCAACACAAGATCAACAAATAAAAAGTGTTATGTTGGAGACAAAGAGCTGTGAAAGACAAAAAACAAAGACTTTATAACAGAAGTAGTACTGAAAATGATGAAATACATACGTAACAAAACGTTTTTAAGTGTTGGCAGCTGTCAAAAACACGATCAGATCGTGTTCAGGGATGACAGATCAGCGATAAACAAATCAAGCAGAAATAAAAAGCTGAAGCTGATTAATTGATTTCGTGTTTGGGGGGGGGGGGGTCATTCATATTTAAATGATATCAGATCAAATGGTAAAAATTGCTTTTTCACACCTCCAACTGAAAGCCTTTCACTGCTGTAACTTTATTTAAACTGTGGATCCTGTTTACTACAATTACAGTACAGAGAACACCATCAGAGGCTGAGGACACAAGCATCCAGTATTGCACCATCACATTCTGAAATCACTTGAAATATTTGAACTATTTATGTGTGGTGCTTTTTTCTCTATATTTCTTTTTGTTTGTGTTTGATGTTTTTGCGAGTTTATTATCCTCGCTCTGACTGACGCAGGGTTTACAGTCTTTCACCGGAGTGCAGCAGAAAAGCCCACGCACAATCATCTTTTATTATCTGCTCAAATCCCTGCTTCTCTTGCCTGCTAAATGCTTCTAAGTTTTGATTTCTTCTCTCTGCCCTAACGCTACACAATTCAGACGAACGCAGGTGTCACACCAACCCGTCCTTTCTATGCAAAAGCTGTAATTTCTCTAATGGGCCAATAGAATAACAGATGGCCTGAAGGTGGTGAGTAAGGCCTTATGCACAACATCCCACACGAGTAACCGGTCTAACAATACAGGGGGCTATGAGAGACGATTAAACACTCACGGCCAGCTCCTGATCAGCAGTTGTGTGGTTGAACGAATATTTTTAATATTAGCTCATCCGAGTATCTCAATGTTGAAGTAGTGCTATGACCTAAATGTATCAGAACCTCTAACAAATCACATGCATCCACTTGGCTGCCCAGCTATTTCCATGTCCTAATACAGGTCCTTCTCAAAAAATAAGCATATTGTGATACAGTTCATTATTGTCTGTAATGTACTGATAAACATTAGACTTTCATATATATTAGATTCATTACACACAACTGAAGTAGTTCAAGCCTTTTATTGTTTCTAATATCGATGATTTTGGCGTACAGCTCATGAAAACCCAAAACTCCTATCTCAAAAAATTTGCGTATCATGAAAAGGTTCTCTAAACGAGCTACTAACCTAATCATCTGAATCAACTAATTAACTCTAAACACCTGCAAGGTTCATTACTCAAAACCGCAATCATGGGTAAGACTGCCGACCTGACTGCTGTCAAGAAGGCCATCATTGACACCCTCAAGCAAGAGGGTAAGACACCAAAAGAAATTTCTGAATGAATAGGCTGTTCCCAGAGTGCTGTATCAAGGCACCTCAGTGGGAAGTCTGTGGGAAGGAAAAAGTGTGGCAGAAAATGCCGCACAACGAGAAGAGGTGACCGGACCCTGAGGAAGATTGTGGAGAAGGACCAATTCCAGACCTTGGGGGACCTGCGGAAGCAGTGGACTGAGTCTGGAGTAGAAACATCCAGAGCCACCGTGTACAGGCGTGTGCAGGAAATGGGCTACAGGTGCCACGTTCCCCAGGTCAAGCCACATTTGAACCAGAAACAGCGGCAGAAGCGCCTGACCTGGGCTACAAAGAAGCAGCACTGGACTGTTGCTCAGTGGTCCAAAGTACTTTTTTCGGATGAAAGCAAATTTTGCATGACATTCGGAAATCAAGGTGCCAGAGTCTGGAGGAAGACTGGGCAGAGGGAAATGCCAACATGCCTGAAGTCCAGTGTCAAGTACCCACAGTCAGTGATGGTCTGGGGTGCCATGTCTAGGGATGGGTACCGAATTCGGTACTTTTTAAGGTACCGACCGAATTCCACAGTACCGACCGAGCACCGATTCACTTCATTTCAAACGGTTCCTCGTTTCGGTACCCGTCCTTCACAACGAGAACTTGCCTAGACAGCTGCGCATGCGCAAGAGCGTTATGTCGTCGGTCGCTGCGAGCCAGCTGTAAAGGAGCAGCATGGTAGAAAGAACGAAAGCTAACGCTTGGGTCCACTTCACTAAATGTGATGGGTAACTGGGTGATGAAACCAGCGACAGACAACTATCTAGGTGAGACATCCTCATCTTAATCTGCTCCGGTAGGTAAATAAAATGTTTAAGATAACATTACCTTGATATGTTAGCTTCCGTTTCGCTAATGGTGCGCTCGCTTTCTCCTCGGAACTCCCAATTTCCGACTAGAACATGAACGCGCTCTAAAGTTTGGCTTCACTTTACTAAATGCGACGGGTGATTGGGTGAAGATGAAACCAGTGACAACGATCTAAGTGTGAGGCATCATTGATTAAATCTGCTCCAGCTGTTAAATGAACTGTTTAAGATAACGTTAGCTTGGTATGTTAGCTTCCTATGCCACCAATTGTTATCATCTAATGGTGCGTTTGCTTTCTCCTCGGAAATTCTAACTTCCCAGTAGGAAAAATCAATTGGAAAAAGGACGGTAAAAGGAATGAAGATACACAGTAAATTTAGTTCACAGTAAAGATGTTTGCTTCAGTTTATTTATCAGCTTATAAAACTACAAGGACGATGTTAAAATACAAACAGTTGTATGTTATTTATCGTGATATTTATCAAATATGGTTATAAATTGAGAAAAATATACATTTAATTATAAAAGAGAATTAAAAATACTAAACACTCAAAAGTATCAAAAATTGGTACCGTTAAGTACCGGTATCGATTCGTAGGTACCGGGAATTAGTACCGGATCGATTCAAATGTCAAAGGTACCCATCCCTAGCCATGTCAGCTGCTGGTGTTGGTCCACTGTGTTTTATCAAGGGCAGGGTCAATGCAGCTAGCTATCAGGAGATTTTGGAGCACTTCATGCTTCCATCTGCTGAAAAGCTTTATGGAGATGAAGATTTCATTTTTCAGCACGACCTGGCACCTGCTCACAGCGCCAACACCACTGGTAAATGATTTACTGACCATGGTATTACTGTGCTCAACTGGCCTGCCAACTCTCCTGACCTGAACCCCGTAGAGAACCTGTGGGATATTGTGAAGAGAAAGTTGAGAGACGCCAGACCCAACACTCTGGATGAGCTTAAGGCCGCTATCGAAGCATCCTGGGCCTCCATAACACCTCAGCAGTGCCACAGGCTGGTTGCCTCCATGCCACGCCACATTGAAGCAGTCATGTCTGCAAAAGGATTCCCGACCAAGTATTGAGTGCATAACTGAACATAATTATTCGAAAGTCGACTTAAAAACACTTTTCTTTTATTGGTCGGATGAAATATGCAAATTTTTTGAGATAGGAATTTTGGGTTTTCATGAGCTGGACGCCACAATCATCAATATTAGAAACAATAAAAGGCTTGAACTACTTCAGTTGTGTGTAATGAATCTAATATGTATGAAAGTCTAATGTTTATCAGTACATTACAGACAATAATGAACTTCATCACAATATGCAAATTTTTAGAGAAGGACCTGTATGTCGTGTCTTTTCATTTTTACACTTTCTCAGCAGATAACAAGGATTGTCAAGAAAGCATGTATGCCATGTTTATGTCAAATAAAACAGATCCCAAAACCTGGTTTACTTCCTTTCTGTTGTCTTCCTCCTCCAATGCCCATAAACCCCTGCATGTCCTCCTTCAATTACAGTAAGCCTAAAGGCAACAGCTATCAATAACACAACAGTCTTCTGGGTCTCGAAGGTCCGACGTGTTGTGTAAAAACTCATATTTTTGGCATGGTTTTAGGTCTGACGTGTACAGTGTAAGCAGTCATGTCGTAAAGTGTGTCAACATGACTCGTGAGCTTTGCTCTTCAAGGAAGTCATACAGTTTGAGCTACGATGTATACACATCTTTCACATCTTCATGGTTGCTAGGTGACAAGACGTATGCAGTGGTAAGATCGTCCAATTTCACTGTCATTCACGTTCAGTATTCGGGGTCGACGAAGGACCCGGTGTCTGGTACTAACATCATGGTAAATGGTAAATGGCCTGTATTTGATATAGCGCCCTCTAGAGTCCTGGAACCCCTCAAGGCGCTTTACAACACAACCAGTCATTCACCCATTCACACACACATTCACACACTGGTGGTGATGAGCTACGATGTAGCCACAGCTATCCTGGGGCGCACTGACAGAGGCGAGGCTGCCGAGCACTGGCGCCACCGGTCCCTCCGACCACCACCAGCAGGCAACGTGGGTGAAGTGTCTTGCCCAAGGACACAACGACAGCGACAGACTGAGCGGGGCTCGAACCTGCAACCTTCCGATTAAGGGGCGAGCGCTTAACTCCTGTGCCACCGTCGCCATCAGCCTCCATCAGCCAGGTAAAGCGGGTCGTTCAATGGCAATATGCATCAGAACTTTGGATGAACCTTTCCAACACACTGTTGGATTTTTGACCCAAAGAATAAAAAAAACTGTTCTGAGGGCAAGAGGAGGTCCAACCTATCACAGGGTATCTGCAGGTTTAAGGGAGCCAAATTTAAGACTTTTTAAGACGTTTTTTAAGGCCACTTTGACCAAATTTAAGCTATTTAAAAAAAATTAATTTTTGCTATAATTTCCAGCTATTGCCTGGAACTGGTGCTAGCCACGTCGTGAACGTGGGATTAGCCATCCAGTTACCATTAAACTTGCACTTC